AAAGTGTTGATGGTGGTCTGCACACAAACATTCCCTTCTTAGGCAGTGCACTGCCACTTCTGTCTCACCACAAACTCTCTGTAACTTTGTAATTTTAGTTCCCTTCCCCCTTCCCTCCTCCCCTCCCCCCCATTAAAAAGAATCCTTCATCTCTTCATAATACTTACCTCTACTCCTCTTATTTCTCCCTTTTACCCTTCCCTTTCATCCTTCCCCTTTCCTCCTTCCCCTTTCCTCCCTCAGCACTTGAATTTTCATTCACTGTCCACCTTTCTCTCTACCCCTCAACACTGTTTGTGCAATGTCATATAATCCACTTTGTGCATGGTCTGATCAGTCATTGTGTGTGTCTCTTGCTCTCACACTCACTCCTCCTCTTGTAACTGTGCAACTTCGAACAAAAAAAAGGAAAAAAAAAAGCAGAGCAAGCATTATTCTGGAATGGTCACTTTCATTTATGTCTTGTTGAAAATTACTCGTAATTCAGCTGACCCACACCCAGAAATCAGTCGTCACGCCTTGGAAATTATTACCGAAGAATAGTGCTTGCTGTACCTCCCTGTTGTTGATGATTTGGGGGCTGTTCATATGTCCCAAGCACCTAATCATTCAGTACTCCTATGTCCTTTTCTTATTGCACATGTTGTAGTATGGTGTGAGTAGTATCTACAGAGACAGGTGTAATCATTCCAGACAATGGTACATTAAATATTAATTTGAGACATTCAGCTGGTGCAATGTAGGGGTAGCAGGAAACAGCATCCAAGAGCATCTGACAGATCTGTTGGGAAACGGTCCTCTCTCTGCATAGGTATCATTATTATTGTTGTTCTATTGGTAACTTGATATATGAAATAGTAGTATAGAATATTTTGAAGTTTTTGAGTAGTGCTCTATTTTTTTTATTATTTTTATTATCCTTTTTTTTTTTATCTATCTGCTTATAAAGGAGTGTTAGTAGCATTTCCTTTCATACAGAGTTCCTATTTATTTTTGAAGAAAATCAAAATCAAAATGAAAGTGTAAAGTAGTGGAGAAGTCGTTTCGAGTCAATTTCATAGGATGCTTTCGGTGCTCCAGAATCTTGTGTAACCCCAAATTTAACTGTTATATATTCTTTCTATCTCTTTTTTTTTACATTCTCATTTTTTCTTATTTTCAGTTGTTTTTTTCTACTTGTTTTGATTTTCTGTCTGTTTATTTTTTACAATAATAAGTCTTTGTTGTTGCAAATTTTGTTTTCTACAACCCCCTCTCTCTTTTTTTTTTTCTTCTTTCTTAAACTCTCGTCTAATTTCTTTTTCGTGAAATGCAAATTGTATAACTTATAATCGTTATTGTCTCCATTCTCCTCCTTGATATGTGTATATTTATATTTTTGTGTGTGTTTTACTATTTAGTTTCTCTTTGTTTCCATTTTGTTTACCTTTTTTTTTTTTCTTTAATTTTCTTCTCTTTTTCGTTATTTCTTATCTGGCTTCCCTTGCTCTTTTTTTCTCCCCCATATTGTTAGGCTCAGGGACCAAAGTTAGACGACATTTGTTTGCTGGACTATTACTGATACGACAAATGCCCTTCATTTCTGTAATGACGATGACTATGATGAGGATTGCACTAAAACCACTTTGCATCTGTTTTTCATTATTGTTTTTGTTATTGTTAAAGTTATTATTTTATTATTATTAATTTATTATTTTTTCATTATTATTATTTTATTATTATTATTATTATCATTATTATTTATTGTTATTTTATTATTATTATTGTGATTATGATTATGATTATGATTATTACCACATAATTATTTTTACTGTTAGTTTCATGCAAGGGCTCCTTGAAAGTGTGCATCAACCTTTAGAGAATAATCATTATAATGTCCAAAAAATATATATTATGCAAAGACAAAACATTTTTGTTTTAAAGGAATAGTATTTCCGAAATAACATTGAAGCTATTAGTAGCTTCAGCTTAGGGTACAGAAGGCAAGGGTGTTTTGAACTTTTCAGTTTTATTCATTTGTTTTAATTATTTATTTGTTCTTTTAATAATAATAATAATGATAATTTATTGATTTATTCTGGTGAATATGTGGATAGATTTTATTTCAATAGGGATTCATTTGTGTGTTATTGTATATTTGTATTTTGACAGGATTAAAGTATTTCCATTTTCAGTCACGTTTTTTGTAATTTGAGGGAATTATCACTGTCATGATTATATTACTATTATGATTATGAATATGATTATTATTGATGTTGTTATTGTCATTATTAATGCATTATTGTTATCATTATAATCATTATTATTATTCTATTTTGAGTTAGTCCAAGTGTTCAGTGAATATCACAGTTTAGTTTCCATGTCCAGGCAAATGACAAATGAACAGTACACACAGAAAAAAGAGAAAGAAAAAACAATGTACCTCCATTCTTCAGCATGTTCTGTAGGTGTATAGTAAATGCTTTTTCAGTATAGAGAACATGCTGACTATTTTTCTGATTAGGAAAAAGGAGTTGAGAGTGAAAGTTTTGTTAAAAGTTTCTCTTAAAAGTTTGCGAGAAATTGTATTTTCTCTTTCTTTGTATTTATTTTTTTACTGTTGATACTATTTTTGTTTAGCACTTTTTTGTGGTGGCATTAATAAGAGAATGCTAGGCTTTACATACAGAATCTCAGCATGTCAGGAAAAAAAGAAAAAAAAAATGCTTTCGGGGCATGAAGACATATGTGGATTGTAGTTTCATCAGTGTGATTCGTTCTTTTTCTCATCCCTCTCTTCTTCTCTCTCTTGTTATCTCCACTTTCGCTTTCTCTTGCCTTTTCATTTGTGTGTTGTTTTGGTCTCTCTCTTCCCGCATTCTGTCATCCTGCTCTTGTTTGGTCTCCCTCCTTACTTTCCAAAAAAAGGAAAAGAAAAAAAAATTATGCACTCTTTCTCTTTCATAGTATGGTAATGAAAAAAGAAAAAAACTCGACCTGGTTTGTAAACATCTTTGTGTGGCAGACTCTGTGTTTAACTTCTTGTAGAGATAGAAGATTTACAATCCTTTGAATTGAGGGTTCTTGCGTGTGTTACCAGCAATATCAGCTCGTGTCGTAGTTTATGGTTGGTTTTGTAAGATAAGACCTTGATAATTGTTGTTAGGACATCACAAATTTTTATCTATGTCAGTGAATTATGACGAACTCACATGAATTGTACAAAACACCTTTTTTTTCTTATCTGTTATTTCATTTATGTTTTATTTTATTACTTTTTTCTTTACCATTGTTTTTATCAAACACCTTTGATCTGGCAACCATTCCTACTTGTAGTGACTGTATGTGGAAATATGTGAATAACATTTTTATTATTATTATTATTATTATTATTATTATTAATAACTTCAATCAATATCATCATTATTATAATCATCATCTTCATTGTCGTCGTCATCATTATCAACAGCAAATTTTTTAAAAATCTCTCTCTTTATATCATTCTCATTCTTTATCTAGTTCTGTGTATTTTCCTGAATTTGTCCTCAGGAGGTGTGGTTAACCGAGGGATGAGATTCCCGGAAAGAAAGGGGAAAGCCGTGGTGGTAATCCCCTCATCCCCACTCCATTACTTGTGCAATGTTGTATAAGCTGTTACCATTGACCTTGTGCAAGTAAGACGATGTTGTCAAACTGCCTGAGTATACGGATAAGAGTAATGTGCTGTGTAGAAGGAAAGAGTAGAAGAAAGGTGGCCCACTGCTAAACTTCCTGTTGGTCGCAGGGATAGGTGTAGTCATGAACTGTGCAGTGTAATATAAACAGTATATGTAGATGTTTTATATTACTTTATTTATTTATATATGTATGTATGTATATGTATATAAATGTATATACATATAAATATATAAATGTGTATATATATATATGTGTGTGTGTGTGTGTATGGATATATTTGTATATGTATATTGATACATACATGTATATGTATATCAATATATATATATGTATATGTATATGTTTGTATGTGTATATATATATATATATATGTGTTTATTATATAATATATATATATATATAATATATATATATATATATATATATATATATATATATATATATATATATTATATATATATATATATATATAATGTATATGTATATATAGATACACACACCACACACACACCACACACACACACACACAACATATTATATTATATATATATATATATATATATAATATATATATCACACTATACACACATACACATTATATATACACACACATATATATATACACAACTATATATATACCACACATATATATACACAACACACGCACATATACACCACTATCGAACACATATACACACGAACATATACACAACACATATACACGAACCTGTACACAAATACACATACACAATACACATACACATATACACATGTATGCATGTATACATGTATACATGTATAATATTATATATATACATATAATATATATATATATATATATTATAATATATATATATTTATATATATATACATATACATACATATTAATAATTATATATATATAATCATATGCATATGCATACAATATGTTTATACAATATATATTTGCATATATTAACTATACTATATAGATATATCCATATACACTATATATATATAATATGTATACATGTAACTATAATATATAATATAATATAAATATATATATATTATATATATATATATATATATATACATATGTATATATATTATGTATATATATATTATGTATATTTATTATATTATATATATATATATTATTATATATATATATTTATATATTATATATATATATATATATA